TTTCATCTGAAAAGAGGACTTTGGACCACTGAGCCACAGTCCAGTTCTTTTTCTCCACAGCCCAGGTAAGACGCTTCTGACGTTGTCTCTGGTTCAGGAATGGCTTGACACGAGGAATGCGACATTTGTAGCCCATGTCTAGGATTCGTCTGTGCGTAGTGGCTCTTGATGCCAGCCTCAGTCCACTCCTTGTGAAGCTCCCCCAAATTGTTGCTGGTGCACCTTTTCCTACCACACTTTTTCCTTCCACTCAACTTTCTATGAATATGTTGGATACAGCACTCTGTGAACAACCAGCTTCTTTAGCGATGAACTTTTGTGTCAATGACTGTCTTCTGGACATCTGTCAAGTCAGCAGTCTTCCCCATGATTGTGTAGCCTACTGACCCAGACTGAGAGACCATTTAAAGGCTCAGGAAACCTTTGCAGGTGTTTTGAGGTAATTAGCTGATTATGGTGTGACACCATGACTTTCCAATATTGAACTTTTTCACAATATTCTATTTTTCTGAGACACTGAATTTTGGGTTTTCATTATCTGTAAGCCAAAATCATCAACATTTCAAGAAATAAAGGCTTGAAATATTTCACTCTATGTGTAATGAATCTATATAATATATGGGTTTCACTTTCTGAAATGAGTGACAAAAAATATTGAACTTTTCATGATATTCTAATTTTTTGAGATGTACCTGTATGTATATAATGTATTTCATATTGTTACATTTTATTTTATTATTTTATTTTATTGCTTAATTGTATTTTGTATTTTTTACATTTATAAATATTTTAAATGTTTTATTTTATTTTTTGATATTGTGTTTTATTGATTACATTTATTTGCATTTATATATATTTCTTATATTTTTATTTTTATTTATTTTATTTTTACATTTTTATTTTGTTATTTTTGTAAAATTTATTTTATTGTTTTGATTTTTAAAATTATTTTGTGTGTGTGTGTGTATATATATATATATATATATATATAATGTATTTCATATTGTTACATTTAATTTTATTATTTTATTTTATTGCTTAATTGAATTTTGTATTTTTTACATGTATACATTTTTTTACATTTTTTATTGTATTTTTTGATATTTTGTTTTATTTATTACATTTATTTGCATTTTTATATTTATATGTATTTCTTATATTTTTATTTATTTTATTTTATTTTTACATTTTTTATTTTGTTATTTTTGTATCATTTATTTTATTGTTTAGATTGATTTCTATTTTTATATTTATATATATTTTATATTTTTTTCTTTATTTATTTTATTTTTTATATTTCGGTCTGGTCAAAACTGGAAAAATAAAACATTTTTCACTGGTTCAGAAGCGATCAGTAGCACAGAATCATCTGTCATCTTACGGCATGTTTCCTTTCCAAAAGAATGATCACATGAATGTATTTGTCTGCAGGTGACTGCAGTGGATGAAGGGATGTGATTTAGTCCACATGTGTCTCTGTACTGATGGCTTTTCTCTTCCTGCAGAGTAAATGGTCCAGAAAAGGCTTCATCCGAACCCGATGGGCGCTGGCTGACTGGTGAGTTCATCTCTGTCCTAAACCACCTAAACTACCCAAACCAGATCAGTCCGGCTTCACAGAGAGACTTTATATCTGTGGCTGAAGGCTTCAGTTCTCACGGTTACTAACTAATCACATCATGTACAACAGCATGAGGCTGAGTAGAAGAGGACAGAGCTAACACCATTACAAACAGACGTAGTGTGCTCACATCCAAGAAAACAACCTTTCAGACAGGTGCACAGCCAAAAAATCACAAACTAATGCAAAAGAAGAGATTTAATGAAGTAAACAGGAGCTTCTTCATCAGGGAGTCACGGAGACCTGCAGCTCTATTCTAACACTATAAAATATTTTGTTTGAATAAAAAATAAATCATTTAAAATAAAAGCAAAAATAAAACACTTAAAATATGAACTGTTTTTAATAATTAAAATAAGTAGTAAATAAAATAAAAACTATTTATAAAACATTAAAAAAAAAAAAAATTTTAAATTAAAGAAATAAAAAATAAAACAGTAAAATTATTTTTAATCAATTAAAATAAAATAAATATTTTAAAATTAAATTATTAAAATAACACTAAAAATATAAATGATAAAAATATAAAATATTAATTGTTTAAAATATTAAATAATTTACAATACAAGCAATCATAATAAAACACTTGCTAAAATGATTTAAATTTAAATAAAATGTAATTAATAATATAAAAATAAATAAATAAACAATCAAAATAAAACAAAATATTTTTTATAAATTAAAATATGATAAATAATTTAAAATAAAATCTGTCAAAATAAAACACTTTAAAACTAAATAAAGCGTAAATGCTTTTTTTCCACCTGCATGTCATGTGACCATTAATGGACATCACAGAACCATAACATGCACATGTGTTGCCAAATTATTGAAATATTAACTTAAGCAATGAAATATTTTAGCTGAAGGAGGTTCGACTGACGAAAACGTTTGGGAATCGCTGAAATAAGCTTTAATTCTTCAAACTATGTATGCTTTCAGTGCATGGTTTTTCATCCTGCACTACTTTAAATGCAGGTTAAGCCGTGAAACCCTTCTTCTGCTCTTTGACTTGTGCTGCTAACAGTCAGAGTGCAGGTTCGAGCCCCGATCAGAAGAGAACGCAAGCTGTAATACGCCAGTGGGAGTCAATTTAGATCAACGTTTCTTCTGAACGACGGGTTTTATTAGATTACAGCTTAATCTCGTTAGCCGAGCGCTTCTATATGACAGATGACACACAGCATGACATGATCAGACAGAGAGAGAGAGAGAGAGAAGGAGGGATGAAGGTAATGAAAAGGTGATGGAGGAATAACAGGCTTAGTTACGCCGCGCTGCGATCGTGTCACTTTAAACCTGATTACTGCTTCTTTAGCACTTCTGATCAGTTCAGTCATCATCCAGAACTAGAACATATTAATATTAATCAGTGAGCACATTCAGGTTATGAAACTTTCACGTTCTGTGAAGCCTGAGGATATAATAATGCATTAGGAAGGTATTCATTTGCATCCATCTTTGTGTAAATAATTGTAAGCACACATAAAAAACATCAAGGTTTCCCAAACGAGTTCATGAGGGAACTGCAGGGAGTTTAAAAGCTAGTTATTTATTAAATTAAAAGAAGAATAATAATAAAAAATAATAATGTTAAAATAAAAACAGATTAAAATTAAGTGCGTACTACAAATATATATTTTAAATGAATTAAGATATAATGCATAATTTATATAAATATAAATGATTCATATAATTATATAAATTGTAAATAAAAACATATGCATAAAAATATAAACTTTTTTATTTTAATTAAAATAAAAACTTAAAATACTGAAAAAGATGATTTTTAAAAATTATTTAAAATAAAATAATTGAGAATTGCATCAAAAGAACACACTAAAAATTATAAAATATTTTTTAAATAAATAAAAAAAATAAATCTAAATATACTTATATTATATAATAATAATAATATAATAATTATATTATATAAATTATAAATAAATCAAAATAAAACAAAAATATAAACTGTTTTTAAAATGAATTAGAATAAAAACAATTAAAATAAAATAATTACTGAAAATTATTGAAAAAACTGAAAATATTATTTTTTTACTAATTTAAAATAAAAGCAAA